GTTTAACTGTTTTTTTTTAATATTTACTTTTAAATTAACAAATTTAGTAATGTATAGTTCTAAAATTTGAATTATAATCAACAGTTTGATACCAAACTTATTGGCACAAATTCATGAAAGAGTAGTTAAATAAAATTTCGAATGTGAGTCAGCAAACGAGATGACATAGCCTTTCACCCGTGACTTGTCTGGATAGGGTTAAAGAAGTAGGCCTAAATATATTAAATGACTTTAGAAGATGCAAATAAAAAATACTAAACTAGGTTAAACTGCTAGTCAGTGTCCATATTTTTTCAAACTTTCATGTCTCATTACCTGAATATAGAAAGACTTGGGTGGTTGTAAGTGCTGTTGCAGGTCAACTCCCATCCCATCTCCAATAGAACTCATGTAGGTAGCCAATGCTTTGTTGTAAGCTATAAACCAATGATACTAAAAAAATATGAAAAAAGCTGTAAAAAACTTTTATTGGCACAATGGAATCATTAGTCTGCATTAAAATGAAGCTTCTTATTTACTACTTTGTGCATTATAAATTGAATTAATCTTTAGAACTTGCACATACATGTCACCTAATAAGTGGGTGAGAATGTATCTTGAAATTATAGCTCCATTAGCTTATGTACTTGTTGAATACACAGGAAACACATAGGTGGGCCAAAACCAATTTGTATGCCTCACAGCATCAATTTGTCTTTTTGTTTTCTCAGGAGCTTCATTTGATAGTGTGAATTATTTTCCCTTTGCTTCAGTTATCCTAATTTTTGCTAAGCTTCATTCTATTATGCCATTCATCTTCTTTTTTTCTTTCTCTTGCTAAGTAACATTTTCTTTCTTGCACTGTTCCTGAACTATTCTTAATTTTATTCTGAATTTATTTCATAGATGGTATTAGAAGTGTTCAATTGAAATGAAAAGCTAAGTTGGCTTGATGCTGTAAACATGCCATCTTTTAATTCAAATGTTAACCAATATCTCAAATCCCTGATTTAATATTTAATGGTATTGAAAGAGTTTGCTGTGACTATGATCATTTATTTAAAAAAATAAAACTCCAACTCAACTAGGATTTCAATGTGAAACTTCCACATCAGAGTTAAATGCTGTAACCACTGAGCCACATTCAGTGATGGGTAAAGTACTGAAAATATTTACTTGAATAAAAGTATTGTTACTTTAGAAAACATTCACTCAAGTAAAAAGTACCAAATATATACAGTACTTAAGTAGCAATAAAGTGAAAAGTATCGACAAAAAATAAGTAATGATAGCATTATTAAAAATAGCATACATTCGACTTAAATTCGTATTTAAAAGGCACTACCAAATATAAACTCAACAAATTTATTTTTATTAAAACAATCAGTATTACTGTCTATGGTATAGCTCTTCAGGCACTCTACTTACATAGCTTCCTACTAGACAGATTAGCTCGTTTCAGTGTGAACAAGAGCCCTGCAGAACTAAACAAATGCTCGCATGCTGCAACTTCATTATTGTTTTCATTGAAAATAAGGCCATGGACGATTATTTGTGTCGGACATGATGGTCACAGTGGGATGAAGTTATCACAGTCAACACTAGATGTACAATGGCTGTGTTTTGTTCCTGCTCAGCAGCACAGCAAATACTACTGCTTGTGATTGTCTTATTTGAAAGAGTAGGCGTTCTCTGATTGATGTAAACAAAAACTATCACCATGGCAATAAGTGTGATTTTCTCCAGTTTTTTCAAATGTAACTTTATTGTTTGTTATTAAGCACAAAGAGCTATGTGTGCTCTGCCCACCATGGGTATCAAAGCCCAGTTTCTAGCAGTAGAAGTCTGCAGACACAAATGTAACAACAGTCTTATAAAAAGAAATGTAGTGGAGTAAAAGTAGATAATTTCTTCTTTATTTTACTTAAGTAATAGTAAATCCCAGAAAAGTTACTCCCAAATTCTGGCCACATTGACGTTCAGTCTTTGAAATCTAATGTTAAAAACTATTAATTTAAAATATCGTGGTATTCTTGTTTTTTTATGAATATTGAAACAGCTTGCTCTGAGCATAATTATGTATTTTGAAAAAATTATAAGAAATTCCAACTGTTCCAGTATTTGAACGCAAGACTTCTGCTTCAGGTTCAAGCACTGTAACCATTGAGGCAATTTGAATATTACCAACAGACAATGGCTTATATATATATATATATATATATGGATATTAGTCAGCAACAAACCAGGCTTAACTCATACTGGGTCTACTATTGCATATTTCTACAAATGCTTTCAATGCTTACCTTTTTTAATATGAAAAGGTTAAATTATTTTTGTAAGAAAAGTTGCCCAGTTAAAAACAATTCCTATGTATGTTGATTTTCTACTGTGAAAATGCATTTAGTAATAGTATTGTGATGTTCACATTTGATGAATAGCTAATAACATGAATGTTCTCTATCTCATCATATATCTAAAAAGAGGTAACTCTTCTTTCAAGATTTTTCTTTTAAGGAACATACTGGTTTAATAGGTATTAAAAAATAATAAACCACAAGATAAGCATATTAAACACAAGATTTAATTTACTTGCTCACAGAGAAGCATGTTACATTTGAACAGGGAAACATAGTATGTCTTGTAATTTACTTTGTAACAATTATAAAGGATAAAGGCAAAGTGGGGATATTACCATTAATGCTGTAACAATACTACAGACTTGTAAGAACTTATAAATAACTACAAAAATAATGAATGTTACATACAGTTTTGATGTTGGAAATTTTGGACAGAATAAATGAAATTTTTACAATGGTTATAAGTTGTATAAATTCATAACATGCAGAAATAAAGCACTACATGAAGTCAAATATCTCAAATGCAAAATTTTTCGAATCCAAGTTCTAAATGTAATGTGTAATCCATGCAGGACAATTATTACTAAAGTTATGAAATAGTTTAGCCACACAGAGTAAAATAGCCTACACACACACACAAAATAAAAAAGGAAAAATTATTCTGATAGTGCATGGTAAGCTAGCTATTTGGAAACTCACACAGAAATTTTATACAAAAAATCATTAATCACAAAATAGCATCACCTACCTCTGACTCTGATAAGTTAGATCGAACATCAGAAGGCAAGACACTACCAAAAGCCCACCTCAGTTTTTTAAGGTACATCAAACGAGTAAAACTAAAAACGAAAAAGAAGATATTCAATAGCATTACATAGCATCTTTTTTTATTTTCTACTATTTGTAACCAACTTGCTAAAAAATTACTGCAACAACAACTTCCGTCGCCCTATGCTCCAGTGGGAGTCTACAGGGATTATTATTATTATATTTGTAACCAAAATAAATCTTGCTATAACGGGCACCTCGATATTCCAGATTAGGAGCAGAGTCTTCAGTCTCTTTCTCTATATGGGCAAGTTAAAGTGTGCATGTCATGACCTTCTAGAGAGTTATTTTCAAACTTTTATTAAGTAACTTTACTATTACTCATAACACTGTAAGTACTCAGAATCTTTGCTTTTGGAAGTATTTTTCACTTATATGTTTAATAGAAATAACTAAAGTTTAAGCATTTGTAAATAAAGAGTATTTATTGGTTGATGAATAAGTTTGCTGAAATGGAAATAAGATTTTATAACTATGTGCACAAATATCTTTGTATGCCTGTACGATATACTGCTAAATTCCAAACATCCCAGAAGATTGACCAATATTCAAACACTTGCAGTGTTTATTGGATTGGCTCCAAACCATATACTGTAATAAACGTTTTCACAGATTCAAAGTGCAATCTTATTACTCTGGGAATTCTCATTGTAAACACTGTGGGATACATAAGCTGATAAATTCCACATCGTGTTCTCAGAGCAGGAGTCACAAGTCAGCTTATTTCTGTGTGTGTGCTTTGTTGCTCTCAAGAGTATGGTTTCACGTAAACAGTCTAATGACACAAGCGGTGATTTATTACTTTATTGTGGCTTTAAATACATACATCAAACAAAATGGGTGGCCTTAAAATTCAGAAATTTAATACAGTCAATGTGGAATCCAGTTTTGTGTGGCTCATTTTTGATATTAAGGGCACCTTGCTACAGAGGGCATTTGGATGTAGTCAGAAGGGTGCCCTTAATGTCAAGGTTCTACTGTAATTGATTAATCATAAGAGTCATTAATTTATGACAATCAACTAATCAATTATTCTCACATGAGACTAATTTTCCTATTTTCAGCTTGTGGGTTTTTAAAAGACATTTTTGAACTACCTATTGTTTGATATGATAGATATCTTTCAGTAGCAATAACTTAGGATCAAGTTACTTTTTTAATTCTAAATTATTGTACATGGAAATGTATCATCTATGCAACTACAGAAACTGTAACAAGATGAAAGTACAATTAATAAATTTTCACAAGACTACTCCAATAAAACTAATGAATTTTTGTTGATGAAAATAAACATTAATTTGTGCCATTTTCAAACAACTTTTTGTTACCGTGAAAGAAAAACTCACAGGTAAACAACTGTCAAAAAACATGACTAGTTTCAGACATAGGCCTACACCAGGTGTCAATTAATTGAATACATCTTTTACTGTTGGAAAAGAAATTATTTTTCAAAACACATTCAAGAATACACCAGATTTAACCAACAATACTGATATTCATAAGTATAATGCAGAAATATCAGAGCTCACTATACATAAATAGCATTTCATGGAACTTTTTGCCTCTCATCATCCAGTCCAATTGAGTTATAACATTGAACAAAAGCAAATCAAGAGGAGTGTGAAAAAAACAACAACTGCACTGTAAATGATTTTTTATCAGAAATTTTAGGCCTTTTGCTTTAACATACACTGAGTTCTTGGAACCAAGTTTACAATTTCATATGAACACAACTATATCAAGGTGATCAACCACTTGGTGGTGAACAGAATGTACACAACTACATTTAGGCAATTAAGCACGTGGATACTTCACTGAAGAAAAGAGACAATAAACAGCAAGTGCAACTTCTCTTGTTAGAGAAAGAGAAGAACACAATTATTAAGGATATAAATTCAGTCATTATTTTGAACACAAATATATTTTAGTGCTAAGTGAGCAAGCATTCCTAACAATTTATCATTTTGAATCAACAAATTGCAGATCCCAAATATTTCTATCCTTATTACATGTTTATTTGTCATTGCATAATTGTTAAAAAAAACTGTTCTGTGCTCTTGGTAACATTGGAAGGAAAAATTAGGGTAGATACGAGTTTTTATTTTATTAAACTCAATTACAATGCATTGTAACAAACCATATAAAAAAAAGGAATGTTTTTCATGCATTCTATCAAATCAAGAATTAAGCTACTTTCAGTTTTTTTGGCTTCATATCAGTTCTTTTAACATGATGCTAAGAAAACACATAGACCTACCTTTCAAAAATGCTTGGGTTTTAGGGTTTCTTATTTTTGTTCTTTAGCAAATAAGCATTGTTCTGTTCCTTCTAAAAGCATATCTACTTCCTAAAGTCCTTGTTTCTAATATACAGTTACTCAGGTAATAAACATTTTATTTTCTTTAGATATTTTTAGAAGTAAAGGCATAAAACTTTTTAAGGTTGGCTTTTTTCTGAGTGAACCTAAATATATCTTTTTTCCCTACGCCTTATAAAAACTATGTTACAACTGCAGCCTATTTATACATAATCAATTATGAAGTATGTTTTTATGTTATTATTTTTTACCATATAAAGTACAGTGTAGAAAAAAATGTATATAGGTCATGTTATTCTTTTGTTACATTGATAAAATGATTGATACTACTTGTAAATTTCAATGTTATATTAACTTATTTATCAACAGTCAGTGGTGGGTTTTGCCAGTCAGTTGTCTGCTCTCTATTCAGCAGTTCTCAATTCAAGATAATGAGACATAGCCTTAGTAGCTTTGTCATAATAACTCAAAAACAAAGAAACAAATATAATGCTCCTTCCTCTTGCAACACGAATAGAACCAAGACTCTCAAATCACAAGGCAACCACTCTAATCACGAGGCCATGCAGACCGAAAATTAAAAAAAAAAAATCAAAATAACAATATTTTGATGATGTGGATAGTCGGAATAATCTAAAATAGCAATAATCAGAAACCCTAATTTCAAATAGTGGATTATTTTTCTGAGTCATGACACTAATTAATTTAGCCGAACTATACTGAATTAATTGAAAATAATATAATAACAATATTTTGATGATATGGATAGTTGGAATAATCTAAAATAGCAATAATCAGAAACCCTAATTTCAAATAGTGGATTATTTTTCTGAGTCATGACACTAATTAATTTAGCCGAACTATATTGAATTAATTGAAAATAATATAATAACAATATTTTGATTACTCGGATAGTTGGAATCATTAGAAACACTAATATCGATTAGTTTATTATTATTTTTGTGTCATTAATTGATTTAACCATAATTTCAATTAACCAGTTATTCTACACAACACTAACTGATGCTTATAAAGTAACTGATTATATTGATTTGAGATAATTCACCAACTCTATTCATAGCAATACTAATCAAACAGTAAATGTGTAAATTACTTCTAAATACAATAAAACATAACGAAAAGGATCACTGAGCAATAGTATAAAACTTACAGATACGTGAGAAGACACCGTTTATTACGAAGAAGCACTGAATGACGAAGTTGAACTGTTGTATGCAGCTGAAGTTCCTCATTAACTGAAGCAGTTCTGAAATTAAAAATTTTTCCATAAAAGACTGTCAAACCTTCTGGTATACATTAGGTACTGATCAAAATGTAAAGCAAACAATAATATGTGACTTCACATTTCGTGAAGAAAAATATTTTACTTATTATGCTAGTTTTAATTCCATGAGAATTCAAGCATTATTGTTGCAACTATGATAAATTTTTTTAAATATGCATTGTTTTGGTTGTAACTTGAAAACATTCATTAAACATTTTTAGAAACCTACAACCACTAAATTTCATCATTATACATTCTAATTCACAAGTTTAAACCACTTTTATCTGTTTTATTACAGGGACAGTTGTCTCAACTGTTTTGTCTGCAGTCTATTCACTTATCAACAATATATAACATTCTAACTTATGCACACATAATTGTATTTCAAAACAGACAAAATTCATCATTGAAACACAAGAAAGATATTCAAAAATTCACAAAATACAACATGTCAATGCATTTAAGACTTTTACAAGAGCAAAGCTAAAAGAAATATTATGCTAAAATAGCTTTATGATAAGTTGGTAACATACCTTTTATTCAGTTCTTTTAAAATTTAGTTGCTATTGCTACAGGAAGTTTAAATATCTTACATGTGCGAAAAATATCTTAGCAAAGTTAGCTACAACTCTCACACAAACAAAGTAAAAATTTAATTCTGATCACACATGGAATACGAGTTAATTTCCTAATCCTAAAAATTTACCTATTGATAGTAAAATAAATAACTAATATCATCCTTCTATGCTTTTCTCTTCATGTGGTTTTATAAAAGCAGGCCACTTTAATAATTTTTCTTAGATTGTATGATTTCACTGAAAAGTTAAAAGTGGAGTATACCTCTGCTACACTGACAAGTGCATAAGCTTTTTTTTTGTGAAACATGTTTCAATTAACCTGTTTTAAGTAAGTGACTTACATTTATAGAACCCTTTCCAACATGGGATAAAATCAGGGAAAAAAAAAGGTGAAAGCAATTTCTTGCATACAATCTACAATGAACTTACACATCTCTCTGGTTCTCTTCAAAGAGTGCTTTCATTTCTTCAAGAACTTGTTTAATAGAGTCTTCCTACAAAAGACATTTTTGTAGACACTTCAAGAATATTTAAAATAAATAAATAACATTATTATAAATGAATAAATATTTCTTGTACATTTTACGGCAGATGTATTGTCATGTAGAGTAAATTTTGTATATACTTCACCTATCACTTTTTTTTTTGGTTTTGGGACAATATCTTAGACTCCATTCCAAGTCTTTCATCATATATTGTCTTAAGATCTTATTTAAATTGTTAATCTTATAAGAATGAACTATACTATCAATATTAATATATTTATTTTTTAAGTGTGCTTGTTCACACATCAAAATAATATATATATATATATACTAAGATGTTTATGGGACTTTTATTTTGAAATGAACTTTCATCTACTTTTTTTCATTGACACAACCCTTTCTTATAAGTGTAGAAATTGTTTTGGTTTATCTCATAACTTTACACACACCCATATACATATATATGTATCTATATAACTAAAAAAGTTTAAATATAAGCCAGGTGTTTGGAACTGTGTCAAACAAAAGACTGATAAGTTCAGTGATCAAAAGACTATATCAGTTAGCATTCATACAACATTTATGTCAAATACATAGGAAAAATTAAATTATTTTTTTATACAAACTTCACGTCAATGGGGTCAACAGGAAGAAAATGATAGATATTTACATTTTCTCCAGATAAGGTGTGTTGTGTACCAAAAAGATTTTTTCACGTGCAAAAAGAATACTATAAAACAGCACTTTAGTACTTTTCAACCCAAAGAGAATTTCATCAATTCATGTGTGTTATGATTATATTTAAATATTTGAGTTTTTACAGTATTATTTCTGAAAAAGATGAGGAATCTATTCCTGACAAAAAAGTCACAATATCCTCACTATTATTTACCAAAATACCAGATAGTGATACATAATTCTGAATGTTTTTAACAGAAAAACATCTTCATAGAGTACTTCATGATACACCAAATCCAAAATATCTGAGCAATAACAAGTTCAGGTGGGGTTCACTTGGAATACTGGGGTTAAATGTCAAGAAACCCATGTGAGCATAATGATGCAAATTATATAATCCTGTAAATATAAGAGGTGAATTTGGAATATTTATGTTTTTTTCATGTTACATGCTTTATACTACAGGGTTAGTATGTGCAGTTACTTAATAACAGTAGGGGCAAATACCACTATAAGTTACAACTTCAAGTACTAATAACTTAGTAAGTTAATTGTAGCAAAAATAATAATAGTAATTTGATTTAATGGTACTAATTTATTACTTACATTGGTTATGTAGCTTACATTAGTATCCAGTCAAACAATATACAAATTTAATTTCAGACTCACTTTTTTCATGAGTACAAAGTAAGTACAATTTACGATATTTTCAATATGAAGTTGAAAAGTGAAGTTGTACTTGAACGGTTTGCAATATACCTCAGTTCTTTTCTGATCTAAGACAAACCTTTAATATTGGGAGTGAATCTTGCGAACGTTTCATTTCTTTGATTAATTCCAGAGCCTTTTCTCCTAACATTTTCTGTACAAAAATTAAAATGATATACTTATTTAATAAATAAGTTATTATACAATTTTCATCAAAACTCTTAAAACTGAAATTAGATTCAGACCGCCAATACTCAAAGTGCCCTCTAGTGTTGAAATTAATGATAATAATAATGCATCATTACTGAGCTTACTAATAACAAATATGAAAATATTTCTACATACGTGTAAATACATTTTATATTGATAAACACATAGCATACAAACGTAATAGGTAACTCACATTAAACCGAAAAATAAAGTTTCCTATAATGTATTTTGTAAGCTTTTATATCTCATCACCACTAAGGAGAAATATGCATTTTCAGTATATTTTATTTTACATTCTGAGCTCATGTAAAAAGCTCTGTTTTGTTATTACGGTGATAATAGCAGAAAATAACTGTTATCACCTTCTATATCTTTGTGGATTGACGTCTTTGTAAGCCCAGCAAGTACTAAAACTAGTTTGTTTGTTTTTAAGCTTTAACATCTTGTGAACAAATGGCTCATAACCTGGGGTTCGCGAAAACTTTTGAAAAATATTATAAAAAAAATAAAACACACGACTCAAAACTGAAAGTCAGTCTTTGTGAGTTGCCAACATATACGACTATCCAGCACGCAACGTTCTTCGCGTAAATAATTATTTTAAGATCAAGGTGTTGAGTTCAAGAGAAGCCTCTTCTCAGAGAAAGAAATCTATGAAGCTATACACACTTCGATAGAAGCTACTGTGATTTTGTCTGCGTAAGTGCGTACGCTGCGTTTTCTTTTTGTTTTTCTAATGAAAAAGATTTTCACTTTTACCAATTTGTCCAGCATCATTATATCACACAAACATACTAGGTAAACTCATTCAATTTATCAAACACAGATAATTATCTCTCTTTTTCTGAGCGAAACCGCTGTTATTCGAGGGACAGCCTGTCTAATACTTGTCAGGGAATCAGATTTTACTTTAAAACATTACGGTAATACATCTTTATTTTAAAAAACAAGGGGCAGAAAGAATTCAGTAAATTAGAGAACAATTAATACAGTATTAATTTGACTCCTATTATTAGGCAGGTATATTAGAATTTATTGTCAGACGTTACTTGGTAAATAATGCGGGAAATTTACATTTAATGATCTATTATCAGCATAGTTTAAAACAGTGTTCTTGTCTTTTTGGTGGTGCTTTTTATAGGAACTCCGTTTTATTGTTGAATGAACCTCTTCAGCGAATCTGATAATCCTTGTCACATAATATTCATTAGCTTATGAAATTGAGCGATATGAAAATTGGTTAAGCAGGAAAAAGCAGAAAATAGTGCTAAATGAGATTATTATTATTATTAGGCTCTATAATGTGACTGTTGTAACTCTAACGGGTTTGTATGATATTGTGATGGAATCTTTATTGAACAGTAATATTTTCTAATTCACTAATATTAATAACAAGCTGATTTACCCATCCTTTGTCCGGGTTATGAACCTACAAAAATGTGGGGGTGGATGCTATGATAAATAAAACAAAAATTCTAACTTTCACACAATTTATTTATAACATAACATATTGTCGCTGTATTCATTATTACCTCATCAAAAGTTTTGTATAAACTTTAAGAATTCAATATGTATATATATATTTAGACCAAAGTAGTAGTGGTAGGAGTGCTTTCTGTTACCCGCTTTCAACATCAGTTCTTAATACCCTTCTGCAGTATTTCAATTGATGAATTAATTGACGGCCTATGGCCGCGGGAGTGTATTACGGGCCGAAGTTGAAATGTTACAGATCAAAGTAGGAAGTGATTATAACTCAAGAAACGGCTCTTCATATCAACCTTATGGTGGCTGTTGAAGTAGAAACTTCAGCTTAGATTATGTATATTTGCAATAGTGGTGCTCATTTTTTCACTGCATTCCTCCATAGAGAGTGCTAGCGCACACTCTGAGGTATCTATACGATGTTTGTATGCCCTCCCCCTACACTGTGAGTATGTTGTGTTATAGAAAGTTCAATAAAAGATTTTGTGTACGGACGTGGCGCCATCTATGAACGTAGTTAACATAAATTTACTTCAAAGATAAAAAATGCTCAATAACAGCAATAATGGGGGTGAAGGAGACTGTGAGCCCCCAGTAACATGTCACTTGTTCCAAACTATCATCTCCCAAAGTTTGGTTGAGATTGGCCTAGGGACCTAGGAATGGGTAGATAAGGGATAAACAGACAGACACACATATTTTGTGCTTTATATATATAGATAAGAAGGGGGAAAAAATTTACTCGGGTGCAAAGGTTTATACTTGAGTTAGGGATTTATTTCGTTCAATTCATTTTACTATTTCTTGAAATATTTGAGGAAATTGGGTACTGGGCCGTCGCATAAAAGTTGAAACTAAATACGAGAGCTACTCTTGGTTCAGGCGAAAATGTGAAAAATGAGTTTAAACATTGAGAAGTTCGAAATTATGCAATTGGGTATAGAAATTTGGAAACAACTCATTTTTTTCCAGGAATGAAGCATTGTTGTTTTTCATGAAACTTTAAATCCTTGTAATGTTTCTCATAAGAGCCTTTGGCCAGGAGTTTACATGATCTAGTAATGATACCTAGGTAAAAATATTTAAGCTATGAATCTTGGCTTTGTATTCTTCACGTATAGAGGAATTACAGATTAACAGTAGAGTTATTGGCTGGGTGTTCAGATTGAAGTATGATGCATTAGTAAATGCATAGTTAATTATCCCTAACTAAATAGGTCTATAATGCTATATTCTAAATTAAATGTTAACTTAAAGTTACCACAAAAATGTAAAGTGTGCGTAGAATTAATTCGTGTAACGTATATGTTAACGATAAAATTACCGGTTCGGCCAGCAGTCGATAGACGCATATATCAACGAAAATTGTCGGTTTGCGCACCTTCACGTAAGGGAAGTGTGACCTGCGTAGTGTACACGGCGGACAAGCAAGCAAACAAATAAACAGAGAGATTTTGAGTTTTATATATAGATTACATTATTTCAATAATGGGCGCGCATACTTATTATATGCATGCAAGTATAATACAGCTTCTACACCAAATGAAACCAGCAACCTGCCTGAACGAGCAAAATCATCACCTTAACACCAACAAGACCAGTTTCAAACCAGCATGATAGCTAAGCTGATCTGTGCTCGTTCCTCAAGTATAGAGAGGAAATCATTTTCATTTATTAGAAACATTATATAAAATTGTTTATTCACATTGCTTTATACGAATATTCAAAGAAAAATATCAGTAAAGTCATCATCAATTCCCATATGCTTTAACAATTTCTCGTAAGCCTGGAAGAACATGTGGCATATTCATGAGAGGAAGTATTTAAGGCTATCTTAAATGCTGTGTTGAGATTAGTGGTTACAATCAAATATCTCGTATGCCAATAAGCTACCCAAATCCTGTGATTGTATTAAATATAATATAATATTTTACTTTTTTTATTGTAAAGTTTCCAAAAATTTAATTGTGGGAATTTCTATTTTTTGAAAAACTTACAGAGATTTATCATTTAAGTTAAGCAAGGAATGCAGACCGTTTAATTATTTTTTTATCAAGACAAAGAAAATGTACATAAATAAAATATTTATAATTCTGGCCAGCATTCCAGGATTTAGGTAACTAAAATCAAGGGGTACGGAAAAGCTTCACGAATCCAATCCTAGTTTAGATGTAATTTTCATTATTTTCAAGCAACAAAAATCTGTTCAACTGTTTTAAATTTTTTGATTTGTGAACATTCTAACATAAAATCTATCAAAACAAATCAGCCTTATTTTTACTTTTGTGGGGCATAATTGACCCTGTGGTAGAGCTCTAGATTTAGGAGCAGTAGAGAGACGGCAGCATTGAATACAGATACTTTTGTTTATACTTTCATACTATTCAAACTGGAAGTATTTTTTCAGTAACTAACATTAAGTTCACGTTCAATTATATATATTTTAACTTGTCCTAAGCACATATTGGAGCCCGAAGCCCCCGTACAATTGCATGGGTTACATTCCCTCTAAATCCGACTGTTCCTGGGTGCAGTTTTTCACCTGTAGTTTTAATATTAGCCTTGTAGCTCATGTAAAGAGGTTGAATAAGTTATATTAAAACGATTTAGGTGCCTCACCACGTCATAACAGATTATGTTGTAAGGTCTAGTCATGCTCTATCTTAAGGCCATAAATATTGACAATATCTCTGTAGCATAATTTCTATTATAAAGACTCCGTGGTAAGGCTATTACGTCGAAATCACACCATCACTCCAGCATGGCCAGGTGGTTAGGGCGCTCGACTCGCAATCTGTGGGTCGCGGGTTCGAATCCCCGTCACACCTAACATGCTCGCCCTTTCAGCCGTGGGTACGTTATAATGTGACGGTCAATCCCACTATTCGTTGGTAAAAGAGTAGCCCAAAAGTTGGCGGTGGGTGGGGATGACTAGCTGCTTTCCCTCTAGTCTTACACTGCTAAATTGGGGACGGCTAGCGCAGATAGCCCTCGTGTAGCTTTGCGCGGAATTCATAACAAACAAACCAAGATGTTTTTAATAAGTCATCAATGGTATGAGGACAACGGTTTCCCAGCGCTTGTTTCACCAGTCAAATCGCATAGATATCCATGGGCGAACTGACCAGTATGTCTTCGTATAGAACTGAATGAAAAACCTCTTTACTTGTTAAGGTATGCAACGGTTAAACGAATATGTCGTGAAAACAACTTTTATGATATTTTTAGACGAAAGAAATCATTCTAGATTACATAGACAATTTTTGCCCTTGACTTTAATGTTCGTGGATTCTCACTTGTTACAAGACACCACACTTGGTGTAGGTCTCTTTCTGGATGATCCCGGCAGAAATCTTCTGCTTTGGTATGGATTCGGGATTTACTACCCGAGGTCTTTGGAAATTAGGTAATTTCCCTTCGACCAGCTCATGGTATAAGGACATTAGTATTGTTACGACAGCGGAAGTCACGCGACGCTGGGAGCATGCGCGCTGGAGTTTCT